GTGTTGCAAAATGAAGGTGATTATCCCCCCTCCTCCACGCAATTTAGTAATAATCTGAAGTATCTTTTATCTCCTCATTTTGAACCATTCTGCAACATCTTGTTGCCACTTGTATTTGCTCAGTAAGTGTTATGGTCTGAGCGTAACTGTGAATTTAGTGGGGATCTTCTAAGGAAACTTCTACCAAGTGAATGTGTTGTGGTTGCCGTTAGTTTGGAAACAAGCTGGCAATATCAATGGGAAGGGACTGTTCCTATCTCGCGAAATTGTCATCTGTTGTTGGAAAACTCAAATTAAGCTATAGCCAATATGAGGGCTTATATTTTTGACCTTCCAACAATGGTTGCTTATCTGGCCTGTTTAATTTAAAGAATTTAGGGAGGAAGGAACACAAAACTGGATACTTGCAGAAAATGCATGTTGAGAGTGGGGAAGATATGTTTGTTGAAAGCTGGTGTGATACGGACATTCAAAAACTTATTGTTGCTCATGAAAAATTGAACTCGTGGTTTATTCTGAAAAACTGCCTGTGTGTGATTGAGGGGGAAGTTCACAGTTCAGGGGAGGACTGTAAATAAATATTCAGGGAGAACAGGAAGATAACTTTTTGTGTTAGTGTTCCTGATGTCATGAAATCCTTTTTGTGAAAAATGTAGTAATTGTCTTAAAGTAGTTATTAGCTGCTTTGGTAAACAAGACAAAGTCATGTAATATCAATTTGTATGCCAATTAGCTGCAAGTCTCAGTTTAAACTTCAGTATTGTGTCACGGAGTCGAGAATGCTGTGCTGCTTTCTTGAAGGGAAGCATCCAATATTACAACTGAGGCTAAGCTAGATAGTTATCTGTCTAATGCATGCATTGCCAGGATTAACATCTTGTTACTGGAATACGTAGGATGTAAATACTTATGGTATGAATGACGCACTCACAGTAATATATATGTTATCTATAAAGTAGAGCCAAAGCCTTTGAGGTCTCTGGCAAACTTCAGATTTTTTTTTTTTTTTTTTAAGGGATCAACAAAATTATAAAATTAAGATCTTCGTTTGTTCTTTTTACTGGAGTGACAGATCTGTTGCTCCTCTTTCTGTCCTCTATGAAAGATGAAGAAATCTGAGTATGTATATGTGTTCAAACTTGCACATAGAGGAGGCTGACTGCTGCTGAAGCAGATAGAACTTAATTTTTTTTTGATTGACATTGCATCAACCGTGTTAGAGAGTAGCTGCATCTAGAATGGCAGTGGAGCTACTCTGTCGTATTATACAAGCTTTGTTCAGTACTGCTTTAGAAGATGGTGGAAGTTTCCTGGAGCGATCTGAAAATTAAATTGAACCATTTTTAATTATGCAGTGACAGACATCTATGCAGAGAGAAGATGGCAGAGTTTTTGTGCATGCTTCAGCTGTTCAGTGGGAATGAAAGTGCTGAGGTTTTGAAGTGCTTGGTAATATTTGTATATGATTTTATAGTAAATATTTTCTTATCTTTAATTTTGTTATTGCTGTAGGAGATATGCTTGATTATATAATGGAAAGTGGTGGAAAGCTTTACCATGGAATACTTCAGATCACACAGTAAAGCAACAGGGGAAAAAAGAGCTGAGTTGATTATTGTTTGGTATGGGCATTTTAAGAAAACCAGCTTGTCTTAAACTTAATTGCTTTCCAGCTGGCTGACGACGCGAGGAAAGTTTATGATCAGATTGTGTCGTTCGGCCTCAAAACTCTTAAAATGAATCCTAGAGCTTTGCATCATGATAAAGTATTTTAGATTTTAATTGAGATAGAATAACTTGTTTCTCCCCTTCTATCTCATTTGGGTTGGAGGGGGAAGTTATTTTTGTTCTTCTCAATGGACAGCTTTTTTTTGTTTGTTTTTAAACCTTTTTGTGCAAAGAAAGTTTGTGGATGGGTGGGGTGGGCAGACAGGTAGTAGTATCTTATTACACCTAAATGTGAGTATGCCAGAGGGATGAAAACATGGGGATATAAAGGCTTGATTGACAACAGAAATAAAAAAGACTGGTGTCCCTGAAGGTGTTTTTTATTTCATAGGTTAGTATTCTAAAGTTCATAGGTTCGTAACAAAGGTTGTAATTACTAGAATACATGCTACTCTTATGAAGTGATAAACTTTTAAATGGAATCATCATAATGTGTTTCTGGTTTTGTACGCTGTGGAATCTGACCTTTTCTTCCCTCCCTCCTTTTTGCATTGAAAACAAATTGAATTTACTCTCTGCAATTGGTTGTTAGAAAGCCTGCAAAGAGAATTTTGCCAGGTAAATTCTGCATCAGCACTCTGAAAGATGTTGAGCAGTATTTTTCTTCTTATCCCAGAAGAATATCCTAGATTTTGTTTGTATCTGGTTTTTTTATTGTGGGGTTTACTTTGAAGGAAAAACAAGTCTGTTACTAGTAAAATAGCCTGGGAAACTTTTTTACTACTATTATTCTATTTGGTGTCACAGGAAATTCCAGTTACTGCAGTGATACTGATGGTAAAATGAATATTGGACACACTAATGAAATAAATAAGAATTACTGGCTTGTACTCGAAGTACTGAATGAAAAGATTGTTTTGCACTTAATGTTTTCATTGCAGGACTTCAACACGATGTTTCCTGTCCAGGAGTGACAATGATCAGTTTGGCTGTAATAATGAAACACTTGGCTGAACAAAGGGTGATATTGGGCAAGAGGGATGATGCATGAGAATAGATACTTCCAGTGTATGTGCTGGCCAACTCTGTTCTAGTTTTCCGCTTGTAGCTTTAATTTGATTCTGTGCCTATACTTTTACGTTATACTGAAGTAATACTTGGTAAATAAAATACTTGAATATTTAGGAGAACTACCCCTCTAGATTGCTCTTCAAAGTGTAGCTGAGTTGGTAGGTACGGGGTTTGAGGTTTAGTTAAGAAAATATGCTTTGGAGCATGCTGTAAGGTGATTGGAAGTGGTGTTTGTTATATTGGTGTTATGATAGTCAGGGGTCTGGCAAAACTTGAATGTATTTCATCAGGCTATTTTAAGGGACGTGTAAATGTCTGCTTAGTTGATGGCTGAAATAAGAAGTGTCTTTGGGTACCAGAGCAAAGTCAGAGCAAGGTTAAGCTATATAAATGGGGGTATTGCAGTGAATACTGATGATGGTTTCCCAGCATATGTAATTTTTAATGTCTGACTATGCTAGAGGCATTTCCCACCCACCCCAAACAAACAAAAACTCAGCAGCCCTGCCCCCATCCCTCCCCCCCAAAAAAGCTAACACCCACCCATGATCAGAAGAAAAAACTCTCTTAGAAAAAACTGAGTGTCTCTGGGGCAGTGTACTTGCTAAATAAGCAGATGTCAAGGTCTGAATGAAAGTTCTCCTGTTATTTCTAGCTGTTCTCTACAATTTATCTTTCAGGGTGTTCTGGTCATGCTGCACGCTTTCTGTAGTTGAACAGGATCACACTAAACCCCTGATTTCTCCCGAACTTCACCTGTTAATATTCTTTGATAATCAGCACCTGTGAACATCTAAGTGCTTAGCCAAAAGAGCAACTGTATTAGCTGTTGCTATAGGAAAATGTATGTGGTTTTATTTAAGCTGCCACCGTTTATACACACTGTAGTAAAGCGTTTTCTACAACTATATGATTGACAACATCTAGAATACTGTTGGTTTCCGTATTTCAATGTGAACTTCTAAATTTTAAAGCTGAAGAAGCTACCTTGTTGGATTCAATTTGTACGAAGGTCTGTATGTCTTGGGGTTTATGGTCATATTCCTCTTGAGGGGGAGAATTATATTGTTGGATGGTATTTGAAGTTTTGTGGTTTGGGGTTTTTTTAGTATGTATTGTGTAATTAACTTGTATTACGCTCAGTTGTTCCAGCTGGGTTTGCAAGGGCAACACATTGCGATAATTCTAGGGTTATCCTCTGCATAAACGCATCCAGTCATGCACACAATCTTTGGTTTAGGCAATGTGTACAGTATCTGATTTTGTGCCTGTTTTTACACCAGGGACGAGAGGTAACCCTAACAATACATTTCTTTGGAGTGTCTTGTGCAAAGGTGTTTGATGTAGGCCCAGATACTAGGTTTTATGTGGTGTCAGGCCTTGGGCTTTTTTTGCAGTTTCTAAGAATGGTTTAAAAATAAATTCGTAAAGAAAGGACCATTTCCAAAGAAGCTGTTTTATCCTTGTTCACCTAAGTTTAGGTGAGCATTGAATGTTTGATAGATGGCAGTGTAATTAAGGCAGAACTTACCTCTGGCAACGATTCAAGTTATAAAAACCTAAGTTAAAATATTACTCCCTCTTAATTTGGTACCACTGCTGTGGATTTAGTTGTGAATCTACGAGTTAATTTGGATATCTGAAAATTTTACAGACTAGTTGTGTATGACACTAAATTCTAAAGAATGGTGCAGTGGATAACGAAATAAAATTATATTGCTTTGTACTCGTGATTGTGCACTTCCTAGCCCATATCATTTCGGATTTCTTCTTTTGCCTACAAACGATCTTGCTTAAGAATTCTTGTTTCATACTGCCTAACCTGGTGACCTGTCTGACAGTAATCTGATAGTTAGTATCACTGACTTCAAAACAAGAAGTTAGTCTTCTAAAAGTTACAGCATGAAGAGCTGTCATAGTCCTCATAATCTTACAGAATAAATAAAATTATGTAAATGCTTAATGCTTCTTTGAAGACCAGCAAAAAGTGTTTTATATCTTTATCCAGGAAGAGGGGAAATGAAATATGGATCTTTAGGGTTAATTTTATATATCTCTCTTTCTTTTACAGCTATCAAGTGCAAATCCTGTGTATGAGAAATTCTATCGACAGGTGTGTATGTTCTTGCTGAGACAACAAACTTTATTTTGTGTTTAAAAGAAAGAATATTCTCTTGCTATGGACCAAGCATGGCCAACAGTGTGTAAACAATAGAAGTTCAAGGAAAATTATTCTGCTTTAAAATATATTTTTATAGTCACTAACACTTAGATCTGACCTATATCAGTATAAATTTAACATTGGTTGTAAGATGACATATTTAATTTGCTAGGGAACTGCCAGGTATGTATGACATAAGCCACTTTACAGTTAGACTGTTAGCTCTTGGAATGGAGTAAATTCTTGTGAAATACTGTATTGATACGTTCTTTGTTCCTTTTTATAAGTGAAGCTGTGTTTCTTGTGTTTGTAGTGTAGTTAGCATTATGTAAGACTTGCATCTCATCCCCAGAGGCTCTTACAGGGTGCCGTAAGGAGTGAAATTTGGATGGAAGGCCACTGAATGCCAAAAGAATGCATGTAGTTCTTGCAGCTTCATTCAACAGCTACAAATATTTTTACTTTATAATGTAAATATAAAATATGTATTAAATTACTATATAAATTTCATTTATCACCTGTCTTTTATATTTAGGTCCAGCAAAAATAAGGTGTATTAATTCCTATAAATACAGCTTTTTTGAAAAAAGCTCTTTCAGCTACTCAATTATAGCAATATTCTGTATCATGTGCATAATACACTTTATTGTACAAACATAGATATATAAAAACTTTAAGTAAATGTAAACTAAGTGAATGATTGTATAAAACAATTAAAAACATATTTTTAAAATATAAAGACCTGATGAGTCGTTGATCAACCATGTAAAAACCAACCTTATAGGAAGTTTTTTCTCCTTTGTGCAATTGGTAATGTTCCTGTCTGCTTGTCCTAAGACAGGATATAGTGCATATGACCTCTTTATTTAGGAACTTCCCTCTTTATTTAGGAACTTCTTTTGGGTGTCAACCTTAGAACGTAAGCTTATCTGCTGGGGAAGAGAGGACCATGATTTCTATCCACACTCTATTTTTGGATTGTGCTTAGAGGATTAGTCCCATTATTAGTGCATGAAACAGCAGTTAAAGTGTATCAGACTATGATGCCTGAGAAGTGTGAGCAGGAGAGTAGCAGTTTTGAAATTGCTAAACAAGAAAAGAGAGTTTGCCTTGATCTAAGTTCAGATGGCTCCTGAAGGTTGAAGGAGATAATGTCACCCTCACAATGTTTTGTTTCAATCTGATGGATGAATCCATTGTGTGTCTATATCTAAGCATTGGATTAAAAGCCTTAGGAGAATCCCATATTGTGGTGATCATTATAAGGTCACAAGAAAAGGCAAGGAAATAATTTTTTTGCATGTTAGGTTTCCTAGCTCAATACTACTGACTATTGCTGTCATGTGTCATCTTTGCCACATGCCTGACTGTCTCTTCCTTCTGATTGCAATTGCTTAACCACTGAAATGTGAAGCAAAAGTTGGATAAAGAAACTGAATTTGAGCACAAATGTGATACTGGTTCCCAAGTCATTTAACATCTTGCATTCGTTGGAATATATAGCCTAGTGAAATTGGAGCACTACTTGTTGTCCAGCAGTCTCCGTGGCATACAGGAACGGGGATTCTTTAAACGTGATGTTACTGTTAGTGAAGTTGCGCCAATGGATTTGTTTTCCAGAGGATTAATTTTCTGACTTGCTCAGCCAAACTCTTTTCTGCAAGCATTTGTCCTAAAGAGTAGCTTTCGAATGTACTGTATAAAGACTTTCAGTTGCACTAGGTAACTTTTTCCTTCCCTCCCTTAGATAAGGAGATGTCAACTTTTGGAATAGAAATGTTGAAAGAAATTTCCTACTTTGTCCTATGGTGCTGATAGAGCATGTTTTTTGTTCTGTCGTACCAGAAGCACTTCATTCTTCTCATGCAGCTTGAGAATAAATTTGTCACCTGAAATAGCTCTGATGCTTAGTACACTTCCGGTTCTGTCTCAAAGTAATTAATCTTGCACAACGTGTGTTATGGAACGAGTATAAATCCCTGGCTTTGTATTTAGAATGCAGTTGAAACATTAACTTTTCGATGGGGACACTTTTCTTTCAGATAAAAGGTTTTCTGATTAATCTTTCTAGACTGACTCTCAAAACAGGGTGAGGTTAAACAATAAACATAAATATATGTGATAAAGTAATAGGAAATTACTTAATCATGTGATATGCAGTGTAGCAGGTAAGCAGTATGCCTGAGCTGCTGATAAATTCTTGATGAATCCTGAGTTGAAGTACTTCTCACTTGCCTTGTGACTTAATGACATCAGATGTATGTTACTAGCTTTTAATCATTTCTGGCCCTACAAAAACCAACTTGCAACAAGAGAGTTGTTGGCCAATACAGCTATGAAAACTGCTTTTTGCACATCAGAGAAAAACCTCTACCAAACTTGTGTATAACTGACAAACACTTGTGATCTTCACCGTGTGATAGTCAAACGTAGGCCAGTTTTCTGTGCTATTTTAATGCTTAGTAAGTGCCCCTATCCCAGCATGCAAGACTCAGTAATTTGTAAAGAAATTAAAATCAGCCCTTTAAAAAAAAAAAAGTTACTAAAATTTAAGGCACAAAAAGAAACTCTATCTGTATCAGGTTAGATAAGAATCCTGCTTAAATCTCTTAAAGTCCCCTTCCTCGGGATCGGAGGTGAGGAAATAAAAAAAACCCAAACCCACAAGCTGATACTGTGTTGCTTTGTGACTTTCCCGAAAGAATAGAAGAGTCCTAGGCTGGAGGTTTTCTGAGTGGATGGCAAGATTACTGTGTTTATGTGCAACGTTAGACTCCATGAACGGGAAAGGGGATTTGATGCAGTGTCTTGGCAACTTTTTGCCTGTAATACGAATAGCTCTGCCGTACAGACTGATTTAGATATTTTACAAATCTGAGGAGCAGGCTAGCTACAAGGCTGTAGTGTTTGTAATTTTATCCTGATCAGCGAATCCTCGCTTATAGGAAACAACCTCTCCTCATTAAAATCATATTAGTTATGTTGAAAACAAAAGATGTTTTCACTTTCATATTAAATGATGCTTTTGGGATTGCTTTCAGAGTTTTTTGTTCACTTTAGAAGCAGACGTCCCTACAGACACCTTTCATCTGGTGTAGCATGCTTTCCAAATGATAAATTCTCCGCAGTCTTTCACTAGCTAGTTCTAAGCCCTCTTTGGGAGCTTTGAGCACCCTGTGTGTGCTGCACCTGTGAACTTGGAAGGTTGGTCTTATGTTCCAAACAAAATATGGAATGTAGTCTTTGTTTAAACACAAAGCTGTGAGGCTGTAAATGATGCAATGAATCATCATCATCAAGTGCTTTGCTGTATATTCCCAACCTTGCTGTTCTATCTGAAGCACTAGTTTCACTAGGCATTCTCAGGCTATTTCAAAGACAGCCATGATGACTCAGTGTTCAGCAAGTGCTCATAAAGCATTGATCTTCAAAAGGGGGTACTGAGAAATCTAATGTTAGCATCAAGTTATTCTTTCTCTGCATGTACTTCATTTTCCCATGCATGCTCGTTTGTTTGTATGATTTCAGTTTTGGTTTTCTGTCTCTCTCTCTCCAGGAAGTGTGGAAAGTAAGTGACCTTTGTTGCCTCTTTCCTGTCCTTTGAAATGTTTATCATGTCACAAATTCTTCAGTTTCAGGGTGTCTCAGCTGATCATAGATTGGAAGACTCTGCTTTTGAAGAGAATATTATATAATTCCTATCTATGGAATGTAATATATTATTTGATCCCTAGATCTTGTAGCACCTGTACAGATACCTGTCTGATATAGTAAGCCTGACAGTTTGAATTGACTGAAGATACCCTTAGTCCTCTTCTCCATATTGTGCCCTGTTGGGGCATCCTTTTGCTTCAGGCTCTCAAAGACTCGCAGTTTTCCTCTATTTTCCTTGTCTAGGTTTTACTGGTTGCTTATTCCACCTGAAGGCATAGCTGAGGTACTGTTTTCGGTTAGGAGCTTGACTAAGGATCTATTTTAATTATCTCCCTGTTGATTCAAGGAGAAATGCATGCTGGCTGATATTCTGCCAAAACTATTACCAACTTCTTCATTGTGTAAATAGGTTCACTTTAGGGAGTAAGCATTTTCCTCTTCTAGGGTGGTAAAGGTATCTTCAAGCAGAGCCTTCTTTTTCGCAGAATCACAGAATCGCAAGGGTTGGAAGGGACCTCGGGAAATCATCTAGTCCAACCCTCCTGCTAAAGCAGGTTCTCACGTTCTCAGACGATACCAGTAATGAGTTCAGAGCTGGACAATCAAATGTATTCAAACTCTGGGACTTCTTTGTCCTTACAAAACAGATGTTTTGCAGGTATCAAGAAGAAAACACTGTGATTACAGAGGGCTAATTAGATAAGTTCATATGATGGCCTAATGTGAACAAGCTTCCCTATCTACTGCATAACTTGAGAAATTCTTGGGCTTTTGTCTATATTTGAAACTTTCTACTGGAGACCTTGAAATCCAGGCATAATAAATGGTTAGAAAGTTACAGCAGTGGAAATTTAATTGCTTGCATGTGTATTAGTGTGTTTTCCTCAGTTTTTAAGTGGAATTAATCTAAATCTTCATTGATGACCTGTAAGAGTAAGCTTGTGTTGGGGTGCTGGGGTGATGGCTTGTGACTTGGGAGACCTGGATTACCTTCTTCACTTCTGCCCCAAACTGGGTCATCTACGCAAAATTCTTACTCTCCCTGTGTCTTAGTTGCTTACTGACAGATGAGGATATAGTGGTTTTTTCTGGAACATTGTAAAACATGTTGGAGTGTGAAAGATGCTTAGATATATATGCATAATATATCTTAAATTTGGCAGTGTTCAAACTAGTTCAAAGTGTCTTCTAATGTAACATGATTTTTAATGAAAGGGAGTTTTTCTTTTTAAAAAGTCTGAATATTGTTCTCAAAGTGACTATGTTAACTTGAGTGTTCTTCTTTGCTAGCTTTTTGAGAGCCTGTGTAAGGAGATTGTATCAATTCAAAAGCTAGTTTGTCATGTGAGGGTTTTTTTTCTTCCCCCAGGTTGATTCTGCTAATGCTGGAAGAGTGTTAGCTTCTGATGCAGCTGTTTTCTTGAAAAAGTCTGGATTGACGGATTTGGTACTTGGAAAGGTATTTAATGACAATTATTTAAATATCCTGCCTCTTGCTTCAGTATCCCATGTATAATAAAACATTTAGTGGCACTACAGGATATGTGGTCTTCCCTAATGTGTTCTCAGTTGTGCTAGTTTCCAACTTCAGTATCCTTGATTATTCTACTATGTTTGTAGTTTGAGGTGGAAACTAAAACATCATTTAAATTTGTCACCACAAGTAAGTGCTATGGTGAAAGTTTAGACCTGAACTTTCATCGAAGAATGCATTGTTAAATGCTTGCCAGCTTCCAGTGCTGTAGAATACTTTGTCTTATTATTTTTATGTTTTAGATTTGGGACTTAGCTGACACTGATGGCAAAGGTATCCTGAGCAAACAGGTATGATTACTTATATTATGTACGAGGTTACTCTAACCATTACAAGCCTCGAAATAAGAGAAAAGTTGAGATTTCTGGTTCAGGAAAACAGTTTTTCTAACTGATTTTTTTTTCAGATTTTTCTAATTGGAACTAGATATGTATTTCCACTTCAGTGTAAACTACAATAAATTAAGTAGCCTTCAGCTACCTCATCAGTTTTTCTTCAGGTCATAAAATGAGCTTCTGTGTAGCTGTGCAATACAATATACTGAGAAGTAATTTAAGGGTTAATGTACTGTATTTACTACAAAGGTGACTTTTCCTCTTAATCTTGGAGGAAATTTAATGCAGAAATTAAAATTCTAGTAAAATCTTCAGTTGCTGTTTCTGTTTGGTTTGAAGTATAGTTACTTAAATAATGGCCTGTGGAGGACTAGCTGCTTCATGCCACGATAGGAAAAGGAGGAGCTTGTAGCATCTACCAAACAAATTTTTTTTCAGAGTTCTCCTTTTGGTTCATTTTTCTCATGTGCTGTACCTTTCTTTCCTCCCCCTCCATCAACTGCCACCTTTGGGATCAACTCAGTTTCTCAAAGATAAACAGCTTTAATTGCTACTTTAAATTTTCACTGCTCTGCCGTAGAGGGATGAGAACTGACTACACTAGCCAGGAAGCTCCTGGAAGCTACAAATGCTTGGAGCTAGTAATTACAAACTTTGCCTCACTGAAGGAAATCAACAGTTGCTGGCTGCTGCTTTCTGTCACTTTGTGACCCCCTTTGAAGCTATTTGCAACCCTTTGTATATATAGCAATACTAGAAAAGCTCATAATTCTTCTGAAATTTGAGTATTTTCATTTAATAAATCCTTTGAAATTTCATTTTTCCTGTAGGAATTTTTTGTGGCTTTACGACTTGTAGCGTGTGCACAGAATGGATTGGATGTTTCCCTGAGTAGTCTTAATTTGCCTGTTCCTCCACCAAGATTTGTAAGATTTCTTTTTTAATTGAACATATCAACTCATTAATAAGAATTTCTTTTAAGTGAACAATTAGGAAAGCTTGGTGTAAATATCAAACACATCTGAAAATGATGTAGGGCAATAGGGCCCTACAATAGGGGAAAAATAAGCAGCATGGAATAAGAATAAAGTGCTACATGTTCCAGTGGGAATTTGAATATAAAATTGTGTGTAATTTGAATATATATGATATTCGTTCTATTAGTGTTGTCCTTAATGGAAGAAACATTTTAAATTTCTTACTGTAAATTTTGGTATCCTTAACTAAGATATGAGTGACTAAAAATGCGGTTCTGGCTTTGAGAAGGAGCACCTTCTCAAATAAGGGAGTGGTTTTGCAAGGTCAGAAGCATTTCTCTTTTAATGTGGGTTTTTTTCCCCGTTTTTCTTTAGACTGATACCAGTAGTCCTTTGCTACTCAGTGGAACAGCATCAAGTGATGTACCATGGGCTGTTAAGGTAAACTAAAGATCAGGCTATTACCTGGAACTATGGTGTGGTTTGCAAGAAAACATAAGTCTGTTTGAGAAAAATATAATGCTACTGGTAGCTATAGTTTATAAAGTATGATAAATTACCATTCATGTCAAATCTGTAATTGGGCTAGTAGACCTAATTTGAGAAAAACGCTTGTACCTTGGGAAATCTCTTTGTGTTTAGAAATTTGATTTATTGGGAATAGTTACCTGAAGCCATGAAAATAATTGAAGAATAAATCTCACTGGGTTTTGGATGAGTCTCTGGCTGACTTAGAAGTAATATCTTTTTCATATTTTCTTTTAAAAATCAGGAACTGCAATCTGTGTGTTTCCAACGGTAATTTAATACTTCTGAAAGAACTACTGCTTCTTAGCCTACAAGTGTGACTATGTCCATAAGTAGTATTTTTCTTCTGCCCCTGCAGCTGGAAGACAAAGCCAAGTATGATGCTATTTTTGACAGCCTAAATCCTGTGAATGGACTGTTGTCAGGTGATAAGGTGAAACCTGTACTCCTTAACTCAAAACTGCCAGTGGATATCTTAGGACGAGTAAGAATATATTTCTACTTAATTGTTAATTCACCAATAATAACTGTGCTACACTCAGCAATATCTGTTTTTCAAATTGAAGATTTGTAGTAATAAGCCTATTAAATACTATGTTGTGGAGTGGCCACATGTGTAACTGTTAAACTGTAAAAAATAAAGAAAAAAATTCGTTTGATATTTTGATAGATTGCCTCTTACCACAGTATATCAGTTATGTGTACTCTTTAACACTTGGTTGAGGGCAGGGTGCCATTAGTGCATTCCATCTCCAGCTTAAGAATCTGTCTTCTTTTGCATGGTTTATATGAATGTATGTTGCTCACTGAAAACTAATGCTGTTAATCTTAACTGAAGTTAGGATGTAGTGGAGGGAGGCTGTCCTCACATTTGTTTTTAATGAATTTTTAAATAGGAAACTGCTGCAGTTTAGGCAAACATCCTGATATTCTGCTTTTTATTGGTAGGTGTGGGAACTGAGTGATATTGACCGTGATGGAATGTTGGATCGAGATGAGTTTGCAGTTGTAAGTATCTTCTGACTCTTGGGATTTTGAAAGCCTAATGGCAGAGGTTTAAAATAGATGTATTGTGTATGAATTCTTGACTGTTTGTGTTGTTCATTTATTGCCTTTATTCAGACACCTTAATCAAGTTTTCATACTAATTAATGGTTTTGTCAGTTTATTGAATGTCTCTTGTTACGCAGCACTAACTTTCTTTGTGGGCTAAATGAGCCATTAAAAACTTATACCTGTGATCTGCTGACCGAGTGATTTCACTGAATAAGTTTTACTTTAACCTTCAATGTTTATAGTACTTGAATGTCTTGGGATACCTTTGAGGAAAATTTTAAAGAAATTATGTATAAATTCTTCAGAAGTTCGTAGCAAGTTAGAATTTTAACACTATTAATGCCAGGACTAATGAAATAATGTAAGAATTGGTAAATAAGTTTTGCTTCCCTCAAGAGATGGCAAGTGAGAAGAGAGTGAGAGGCTCTTGCTTTTGAAGATTCTGTAAGTCTTGAATGCAGTAGTAACCATGCATCACTATTTTCTACAAAACTTTCATCTTGTTTTTCCATGTAAGCAAATCGGAGAGGAAGGAATTAAACCCTCTCCTCCAGAAAGAATATATTATTTTACACAGAGAAATGTCAAACCTAAGTTTAAAGGTTTGGTAAAGCTAACAAAATACCTTAACTGCATTCTGCATTGCAAGAATTTTTAAAAAATAATGTAACCTTTCTGTCCTCTGGTGGGACTAAAGCCAGCCTTTAATTTTAGTTTCTACAAACTAAACTTGTTCATTCTTTCAGAGTCAAAATTGAAAAATAAAAATAAAGTTTAAAATACCTGTTTAATTGCCAAGAATTGATGTTACACACAACGTCAAAACCTTGCTTTTGTTTTTTTGTAATGTAAATGTGATGAATTTACCTTTTTCTGCTGTCACAGATATTTTTGAGAAAGGATAAAAGTGTAAAAACTTCTTTCTTAAATGCTATTCTAGTCATCTTCAGGCACCTATATGCTTCAGTTTCTTCTGAAACCAGTTCCTGTAAGACTGTAGTAGTTAACTGTTACTATACTTTATTTCCTGTGTTTATGCTGTAATTCTTCAGGCTTCTAGCTTTGAGATCAGAGGATTGATATGCTTTAGGGAAATGTTGGAGATAAATTGATAATTTGTAAAGTATTACAACATTTATTTAAGATGCAGTTCAGCGTCTTGAATAATAGTTACAAAATTATTAAAATGTACAACCACAACAAAAGAATAGTCACTAAGTGGAGCAATTCCTGCAAAAACAGTGAATGATTAAAATTAAGTGTTTAAAGTGTTCTCACAAATAAAATTCACACAAGTGGTAGTACAAGCTTGGTAATATTTAGGAGAATCATTTTTAATGTTCTAAAAGATACTGAACATTTGCTAAGCACTGAACCTCAAAAGAAAGTAGTAATTATAAACACAGGTCAGAAGGCAATAAGCTGCAATTCAGTTGAGGGGGCGTGTAAAGGAGAAACAATGAAAAAATGCTACAGTTATTTCTTAACTAATTTTTAATTTAGATATATACTTATATCTTTACATCCACACACCTTGTTTTCTTGTCTAGGCCATGTTTTTGGTGTACTGTGCTTTGGAGAAAGAACCAGTGCCAATGTCCTTGCCTGCAGCTTTGGTGCCACCATCCAAGAGAAAACCTATCAGTGTTCCAGGAGCAATGCCATTAATTCCATCCTCAACGTCTACCAAGGAGTCTCATCAGTCCTTGCCACCTGTAGGCATTTTAGCTGCCAAAACACCATTAACACAGGTACAGTTGTGAAGTTGCTTGGGGTTAGAAGATTTCTGCTTTTAATGCTGTGCTATGGAGACTGCCTGTATGAAGAGTCTTGATAGAGGTTTTTAGTTTGCTTCTTGCCCTTATTGATTGGTTGATGAATTTGAGGAGGCTGATGGGAACAGCAGGTGGAGAGGTATGAACTTTATCTTCTGCTTTTTCTAGATGTCTTCAGATATAAACAGTTGGATAAAAGAATATTATTTAGTAAAGACTGAAGATATTTTTAAAATAAATTATTTCAAGGCACCAAGCTCAACCCAAAGGTCAGAATATTAAGAAAACAGTTTAAAAATGTAGTCCAGGTACACACATGCAGAGCATAAGTCTTCTGGCTGAAGACTGATTTTAATATGGACAAGTTCATAAAACGAATTGTGGCAGGCATGTATGTGCAACTGTATGTGCATGCAGGCCTGCAATTTGAAGAAGGTATTAATGAAAATGGAATAGGTAAATGCAAGCAATGAGAAAAGGAAACAAAAGGTCTGGCATATCCACCTAAACACAAAAGATTTGGTGTTTGTTTTGAGTGTAATTATTAAGAAATTTGATGCCTTCCACCCCCCCAAGCATCTTATTTAATCCTGGTCACTTTAGAATGCAGAATTTGGGAAAATGTCTTTCCAAGTAGATTATAACTTACTTATTCTATTCAAAATAAGAAAAAATTGAGAAGGGGATCTAAGGTAAAAACCACAGTACTTGATACATAAGGTACTGCTTGGATATTTCGGTACCCATATTTGAGTAATCGGTAAGAAATTGGCATCTTAATTCTGGAGGTGCCGAGGTTTTAATCTGGCAGTTTACGTGGTAAGTCTCGCTGTGTGTATTACAAAGCAATGCCATTCTGGATGCGTATTTCAGTGTACATTTTGTGTACAGCACCATTTGGGATTCGTCTAAGTATCCTCATATGCTGAAATGAATTAGTGTCCACAAGCATGCACCTGAAGGCATTTTCACTCAAAAAAACCCCAAAAAACCAACGGCTTTATAGTAGCGTAGTGTTTGGAAAAATTGTTGAAGTAAGGGAAGTGGCTCTAATTCCCATCTTTACCTTGATCGTAGGTAAATTCTACCATTTAGAATGTGCCAACTATTAGCAGTCTGGGCATGAGCAGCTCCTCAGTCCCTCCAGCTAAAGCTCTCCAGCTGCGTAAAGAGGAATAAAATTGATGGCGCCAGACAGTAAGCAGGACTGACTGAGCACAGTGATGAGGGCACAACCCCATGCTGGGAGACCTGGGCTCCAGGGAATACTTTTAATATGTAGGCAAAGAGGCAGAATAACATCAGCCAGTCTTGGAGCTTCACTGATGTAAATACTTCGCTTCTGCTTTTGAAGTTGCTTATGGATCTCTGTATATCTCTATTTTGGAGGATAAAACCGGTTCATGAACTAAGCACCTATATGACTTTTTAAATCTGTGCTGTAGTCCTTAAATTATGTAACTCTGAAAATAACTATCTGAAAACAAGATGGCCTATATCTTAGTATTGTGGTTTTTGTTTTTGTTGTTTTGTTTTGCCCCCTTCCATCCCCACCCCCTTTCAGTGGGTTGTATCGCCTGCAGACAAAATTAAGTATGATGAGATCTTTGTGAAAACTGACAAGGACATGGATGGATTTGTGTCAGGTGTGGAAGCCAGAGAACTATTCTTGAAGACAGGACTACCTTCTGCTCTTCTTGCACATATCTGGTAGGGATTTTTTTTCCATGACAGCTGTTTAGATGATGGCATGGTTCTCACTCCTTCCTAGCACTTCTGATGAAAAGTGCTATGTTGACATTTCTGTAAAGTGAAAGTTGTTTTTTGTGTATAATAGCATGGCCTCTGTATAAGCAGTGGTAACTTGCTTCTACTTTTGGACAGAAATGGGGGGAAAACAGGTTTATGCTATGCATCATAAGGGGGGGAAGTAAAGTGCCGGAACACAGAACGTTACAAATACACACTGCTCTTCAGCTGAATCCCTGTATTTAAGACATCATAGTGTTGCTGTGTATCTAAACACAGATACTATCCATATAGTGGTAAAGAGAATGACCTCTATAAAATTCTTAGCATGCAAGACTTATGGCCCACTTAATTCTGCAACTTGTTTGTCTTTTATTACAGCCGGTAGTGACACCCACTGCTTTTTTAATTCTTTCCCCCCTATAAGCTATTCCAGGGCACTCTGATAGGAAAAACTTCTTTTTTTCAAGATATGGTTAACGCAACCTCCAATATAGGATATTTAGGAAAATTAGATGACCTGTGTTGGCTATGAGAAGTTCTTTAATTTAGAAGGAACTTGAGTTACAGATACTCAGGTGGTGTTAGTGACTCATAGCCCTGATTTTGCCTTTCACCAGATCAGAACTTACTGTAACAGAGCTGTGGACCTTAGCATGCAAAGAGAAAGTGGTGGTGTATTTTGAGTAATGCTTACTATTTATTACTGTGCCTCACTTCTATATTGCATTTCTTTAGAAGAGGGGATATACACTGGCAATTTTCACATTTTTAAATGACAGCAAGTACAATAAATGGTGCTATACTTGCAGAAATGAGGATTTGATTTATTTCATGTGCATCTCTGTATAGGGCACTCTGTGACACAAAGGACTGCGGAAAGCTTTCAAAGGAACAGTTTGCTTTGGCTTTCTATTTAATTAATCAGAAGTTAACAAAGGGCATTGATCCACCTCAAGCTCTGACTCCAGAAATGATTCCACCTTCAGACAGAGGTGTCAGTTTACAGAAGGTAAGGATGGGTTTGGCATTTTTGGTATAAATCTCAAAGAATGTTAGTTACAAAGGCTATGCAAGAAACACCTCAAGTACTGGCATACCTTAAATTTGTCATAATGTCAGGAAGAAAGCAAGTCTGAAGTGTAAAGAATTGACAAAACACTGTTCCATTCATGTTTCAAAATGAAGCTGTCATTTATTACGCCTGCCAACCAAGCGGAGAGATCTTATGTTGAGAAAGCATTATTTTCTATTTTGAAAGAATAGTCTTTCTGCTACCTGTCTAAAGAAATTTTAGTTTGCATTTGAAATAACACACACAAGTTCCATGTTTTTCTCCTAATGTGTTCACAATTACTTTTTTTTACATTTCTTTTTTAAGAAGTCTGGAAACAATGAACTAAATAAACTTTAGAATTATATATTTTAAATGAAATGGTCCTCTATTTTATACTTCACAGATAGTTTAAATGTCTTCATAGTCTGTTGATTGCCATCTATCTTAATGCAGCAGTGGACTACACCTTAGCAGTTCAAATTGTATTTATCAGAATGGCAAAGGTCATCACAAATTCTTACTTGTTTTACGCATCACAAAGTCTGATGTGGATTACCTTTTCTTGGTTGTGCAAAGCATTGACCTAATTCTACAACTTTCTTAAACAGAATGAAAAATTCGCACCTGAAAAAATGAAACTCAAAATTTGGCACTACTTTTGAGTTTCTGTAACTGGTATCTAATTTCTTTTTACATTCTGTTTTTAAAAAGTGATTGCTTTATTTGCAACTTTACTAATCTTTTTTGTATGTTTGCTTTCCTTTCTATGTCTCTTTTCTAGTTTGGACTGTTTTTTCCATTCTGCACCACTCTGCTTTTCATCCTTATTATTCTGTCAGTTTGTTAACTCTGCTTTCTCAAGGTTAGAGAATCTTTGCTTTTCTAATATTTACTGTCTGTTGGTTTAATAATGAACACCCTTCTAAGACTCTTACATAATCATTGAAATAGCACAGCACTTCTCTGAAGTGTCACAGTATGTTGTGATCTCAGCTTATTGCTGATTTCCATTGTGGTTCATCTGGAAGAACCCCAAGGTTCTTCCTGGAACCCAGACCTCTGTGGCTGCTACCTGTTGGTAATATATGCTGCTTAAACTTAAAAGAAAATGCTGTGTCTTATGCTGTTGAAATTGCTGGGGAAGTGGTGACAGAGTAGTAACCCAACGTGACAGTTATCATTAGGACTAATACCCATGGTTTCACTGCAGAAAATGTCAGAATGCATTAGGGGAGATCAGTATTGGTTACAACTATTCTGCGTGTGTAAATTGCTTTTATAGAACTCTCAGACATCAATGTGTTTTTGTTTTTTTTTTTTTTGCTTTACTAACATAAATGATAAGAGTAAGAATATTGTGAAAGAAGGTAAGAGTTCTTTTAGTTAGCTCTGCAAATCCATACCAAGAATTTGTTTTACTAGGTTGAGCTTGAACCTTCAGCTCATTTTGAGCTTTTTCAAGAGAGATGTCTTGTTGATAGGAAAGAACCTGTTTGTCCAAGATTATTGCTCAAGAATTGAACCCAAAGGATAAGAGCAGTAGGCAGAAATAGGCTTTTTGCTGGTTTTCTTGGAATGGTTTACATTGTAAAAAAACCTTAGGCTTCATCTTCTGACTTGACCAATATAAAGGTAGTAGCAGAAATGTCAGTATAATGGTAATCCATTATGTTTTTAAAGTAGG